TTCACTTATAGTTATTCACTTTTTACTTTATGTTTCTTTTTAAGTAAAAATAAATAAAGTATATATTTTATAATAATACTGATAAATTTTTAAAAATCTTGAAAAATAATTTAAAAATAAATAATTAATGATAAGAATATAACAACAGAAAAAATTAGGAATATTTTATGAATTTCTTTTTGACAAATAGATGGTTTGAAGCAAAGAGCAGTGGATTCGACTGATCTTGCACCCACGCCACTGTTTCCGGACAAGTAGGAAGTAGTACGCAACTAGTGATTTAAATTCCTAAGTACAGCTCTTTGATTCTGGTGATATATATCTTGATCTGCACACTAATTAGTGATTACAGGGGAGGAAAATGGAGGAACATCAACTTGATTATGCGCTTGTGCCTCTTGGGCTGGCTATTTTTCTATCATACCATGCTTGGCTTATGTTCACTATAATTCGGTATCCAAGAAGAACAGTCATTGGAATTAATTCTGAGTCTCGCCATAATTGGGTCCTCTCCGTTATGACTGTTAGTCTCCTTTCTCTCCTCTTTTAGTTTTCTTTTTTATGTCCGAGATATTGATGAAATTATGGTTTCAAATTTTGGGGTTATTTTTGCAGTGTAATAATTACTCTCTAAGTACAGTTTAGCATTATGATTTGAGCTGCTTAAAGATTCAAACTGTAGAAAAGAATGTTGTAATTAGCTAGTCTAGGTAAATCGAATGAAAGAAGAATAACATTACCAACCCAGCTAATATAGGGTTAGCCCGGTGCACAAGTGATGTATGCAGTTTGCCCTAATGCAGTGGCTGCTTTCATGGTTCGAATCCTTGTTAAGCTTTTATTTCGTGCGCCCCTGACCCTCGGAATTTCGCATTGTAAAAGAAATATTATAGTCCAAGCTAACCAGCTGGATTGATCGATTGTCTCGATGATTGATATGGAAATGCTAAAAATGGGGAAAGTGCAATTTAGAAAGTGAGGAAGTCCATGATATCCAAGTTTTGGTTTTTCAAAGTGAAAGATTGAGCAGCTGCGGAATATAAAGCTGCAAAGGGTAGTTCTGAGAAAGTGGAAAAACAAGTGCTTGAATGATTCTCATCTTAGGGAGCTAGTATTAACAAAGGCCTAATTTTTGAATATGTTTTTTAATGCCTAGTTTGGTGATTTTTGCAGTGTGCTATTGAGCAAGAGAACTTAAGGCCTCATGTTAAACTTGACTACAACATCTCCGCTTTCCACTATTTTGCTATTTACTTCCTCTAAGTAATACACAAAGTGAATAACCACATATAGTGTAATATCTATCCTTGTTTTATGTAGTTCACTGAATAGAAAGTGCTTGTCGCTGCAAGTGTTATCTTACCATTTCCTGAAGATCCCCCCTCTAGTCTCGTTTTTTGCTATGCAAGACTTGTTTTGATTAACCGTGAAGTTTTTCTACTAGAATTGAACTGCAGGCCTTCTGTAATAGCATTTAGTTTCCTTCAAGAGTTCCTTTTCTTCTCAAAGATCTATCCTAATAAGTCTCATGCAATTGCTCTTCTTTCCTTAATCTTTCATATGTTCCATTTTATTTTTATTTAGTGTTTAATGTACTTATACTTTCTATGATGCTGATTAAGAATCTTCCATCACCATTGAGATAGATATATTTTTAAAAAAGGAATATCTGGTCATGCTTCTTTTCCTGGTAACTGAAGAGATGAATCAATTAATAATATGAATTTATTTAAACAATCAAAGAGCATGAACGTGAATCTTTAGTGGAAGAGAAAATTATGCATTCAATAAACATAAGAGGAATCTTTTCAGCTAGTTGGTCTTTGATCAACTCATATAGTGATATAGAGTATTGCTGCATATTTTAGTTTTCAATAAATGAACTTTCTGTGGTGGAATTATTTTTGGCTCCTGTGAGAAACCTTTTCCTTAATAAGAAAGTTTGACTGGCATTTTGAGTATGTGTAATGCCTTCAATGCTGCCTCATTTCAGTTGGAAATATTGCATTGTAATTGCAATATACTAGAAGAGTATGTGATTGCAGAAAGTTATCAAACTAACATGATTGTGGAATAAGTTTGTATACATCGTATAAGTTTTAAATATAATTGATTATGAGAAACGAGTATTCTGGTTCTCGTGGAATACTAACTGGAAGCAACTTTTGTCGAGTTGGTTTATATAACTTTTTTTTCAATATATTTGGCAGTCAGCCAGATACTACTAGTTGGAACATTGCATGGTTTACTCTCTGCCAAAAGGAAGGAGGAAGAGAGTCTAAAATGTGAAAAGAAAAAATAAACCAGCTTCTGATTTGCAGAAATTATCCAACATGGATGTATTATGTCGATTATCTAAAAAAATTATCAATGACGAAGTTTTGCATTTCTATTTTTTTTTCCTCCGCTGATGTGCTATAGATTAATAAGCATATTATTATGCTCTCTTCTAGTAGAAGAACAATCAGTATTAATTGACCATCAGTTTGGTATGGATTGTCAATTGACTTTGAGGGAACTGTATCCAGGATCCAATAAAGAACGGAGTTCTGGCAGTTCAAACTATACGCAACAACATTATGGCATCTACCCTTTTGGCGACGACTGCAATTACTCTCAGCTCAATCATTAGCGTATTTGTGAGCAACAAATCAAGCTTTACATACTCGGAGCTACTGTTTGGGAATAAAACTCCTATGATGTCTTCTATAAAGTTTTTTACCATCTTGCTTTGCTTTCTTGTTGCATTTCTCTGCAATGTTCAATCCATCAGGTACTATGCCCATGTTAGCTTCTTAGCTACTTTGCCTACATTCAAAGACAGATCTGAATCTATAGAGTATGTCGCGATGAATTTGAACCGAGGGAGCATGTTTTGGTCACTGGGACTACGAGCATTTTATTTGTCGTTTCCTCTCTTCCTTTGGATATTTGGGCCGATACCCATGTTTGTAGGTTGCTGTGTAATGTCGATTGTTCTATACTTCTTGGATACCACGACAAGTTTTACCAGGGATCTCCACTGTCAATCTATAAGAAATGAAAGGAAGGCAACTGATTTGGAATATGCAAATCATCCACTCTAGAAGTTGTTAATGGCATAACAAGTTCACGGAGGGTATATTCAGAGTCTAGCCTATAAGATATGAGTGTCTTATTTGGAAGGTTACTCTGGTTTTGTAACTAATAAGTTTCACCTATTTGGTTTTCTATGTAAAATTTATATTCAAGTGGTTCCACTTTCATATAATATCTATAGCTTCCCTTGTACTTGAAGAAGGAATGTTGCCCCCAAGTATGTACATGAGGGACAATTGTTGCTTCTTTTTGTCAGTCACACAAAAGCACTTGCCACATAACTGTTGACAATCACTAGGGATTAAAGGGCAGCCCGGTGCACTAAGCTCCCGCTATACGCGGGGTCTGAGGAAGGGCCGGAACACAAGGGTCTATTGTACGCAGTCTTACCCTGCATTTCGGTAAGAGGCTATTTTCACGGCTTGACAATCACTGGGGATTGTTTGGTATAATGTATAAGAAACATAATTTAGATGTGCATAGATTCAAAAATATTCCGTGCCACTGTTATATTATCCCGTGATCGTTTTGCTTTTCTGTTAATTTTTTTTTTTCTATCTTCTCCTTTTTGTGTGTTTTCCCAAACTTAATGCCGCTCTTAAGTCTTAACTCAATTATGAATAGATCCTATAAAAGTTGGGAGTACTATTTTCTTCGGGATAGAACTATTATGTAGGTGTGGTAAAAGAAAAAATAAGTTAATTTAATAACAACGAAGGGCAAGATGAGAGAAAAGGCAAGGTAACGACGTGATCATACCAAATCAGTCGTTATATAAAGCGACATTTTTCGTCATTACGTACGATAACCAATTTAATGATACAATACAATAAAATTTAAGTAACAATCAAAACGAATATTGCATTTAAAGTAACAATATAATACAAATGGATAATAAAAATAAAGGAAAAGCCATCTCAGACCATGATTTTAGCCGCTTTTCATGAATCCAAGAACAATGAGAGCCTCTTATTAAAATTATTTGGGAAAAAACATTCTTCACTGTGAATGCTTCTTGGGTTTTCACGCAGTCACTACAACTTCTCAAATCTTAAGGCCGCCGCACGAAAGCAAATGTTTCGTGGAAGTTAGGATTGCTTCTAATACCCTCCACTATATATACCTCGCAACTACTCATACATTGCACATTAATTTGCAAATAATTAAATTTATTTACACATTGATCTTTACATTAAATCACATTAAATATATTATCGTTAAGTCATAAATTGATGACAACGTATATAAGATCATGGATAAATAATAAAAATGTATATAAAAAATCAGTACCATGCATTTGTTGATTTGATGTAAATATTTAACACAATAAATTTTTATTTTGCAATTATGCAATGATCCTGAATAAAGTAGTTAAAAGTATATTTATGTATATAAACAATGCAAAGATTTGTATGCCATTGTGAAGTTAATTAACTTCTTATTTATGCCACTACTACTTGTTGTTTCCTTCTCGGGAGAATGGATATGTATAGATATTTTTAATACTATCAATTCATTTAAAACTCAATCACGAAACTGGTACTAGTAACTGTGAATAAATAACATGTTACAACAAGTTACAACTAGTTAATGTTTACATAACCACTCAAGATTACATAAGTCCTATTAGTACTTTGGCAAGAACTAGAGTAAAATAAAGCTGTATAAAATCAAGTTCCATGCTTTATTATTTAGCCGTTGCTAGGAAGTGTTTTTAACTTCATTTTCCCTCATCATATGCTTGCTGTTGGCCTTTGATGAAAGGTAAAACCACAACTATCACTTGCATTATTTAACCTAAGCTTCTATAGTCAGTACAAAAGAATTTTACAGGGCTTGGTACTACTGTTTTACATTGCTTCTCCTCAATTAAGTCCACAGAATTTCAGCTCATCTTTAAGTAAACTTTCTACCTAAAATCAATGGATCCACTGGCCTCTCATCCAACTGCCTTTCCAGTTACTGTTTTCCAGCAAAACTATCTGGATTCTAACCGCTCCTCCTCATGCTCCCGCCTTAACAATACAAGGGGTGGGCCTCTGCCACCCGTCCCTGGTGCCAAGCTACGCCTCATGTGCAGCTACGGGGGTCACATTATCCCCCGTCCCCACGATAAATCACTATGTTATATTGGAGGTGACACTCGTATTGTGGTGGTGGATCGCCTCTCCTCCCTCTCTGACGTCCATGCTCGCCTTTCACACACCCTCCTCAACGGCAACAAGTTCACTTTCAAGTATCAGCTTCCTAATGAAGACCTTGACTCACTTGTATCAGTTACCACAGATGAGGACTTGCAACATATGATTGAAGCATATGATCGCGCAATGTTGGTTTCACCTAATTTGAAACCTTCTCGTCTTCGCTTATTCCTGTTTCTTGAAAAGATAGAAACTGTAGCCTCTATGGGTTGCCTTCTTGATGATGCCAAGTCCGAAACGTGGTTCGTTGATGCTTTTAACAATGCTGGCTTTATTTCCAGAGGACTCTCTGATTCAGCTGCAGTAGATAATTTGCTGGAACGTCACAACATTCCAGAGAATGATTCTTTTGCAGATCTGGCCACGAATGCTATCCAAGAAGTGCATTCTACAATGCCTGATTCACCTTTGGTTAATACAACCTCATCATTTGAGTCCACTGTTTCCTCTCAATCTATCGGAAATCTACTTCCTGTTGCGGTTAAAGTTGAAGATAATCACATGAAGGCGACATTCCAGGATCAGATTCTTGGGTTATATGAACGGTTCTCACATATTAATGTCGCTTCAAATGAACAAAAACTGGATGATGGTTATAATCATTTGCATGCAGCTGTAGCACCAGCTCTTCCTACTGTAATTGGTGGTGCAGATGCTATGTTATCAGCCGGTTTTGTGAAATCTGCAGCTGCTAATGATGATGAGAAAACAGATCACGGTGCACCTACTAGGCTCCGGAAACTCCTATTGAGGTCACTATCAATTCAGAAGAAAAATGGAGATGGTTATAGCTTACCATCACCTGATTCAAAATGTGCTGGTTACAACTTGCCATCACCTGATTCTGTAGCAAGGTATGAATGTCCTCTTTTGTAAGAGCCTAGCCCACTAGTGATATTGTCCGTTTTGGGCCTAGGCCCGCACGGCTTTAAAACGCGTCTAAGGTTTGTTTACTTATATACCCAACATCCCTCCCGTGTTTTGTCGACGTGGGATTTGCCTAGGGTGTCACAAGCCCCGCTCACTAGTGATATTGTGCGCTTTGGGCCCAAGCCCGCACGGCTTAAAACGCGTCGGTAGTGTCTAAGGTTTGCTTACTTATATATCTAACATCTCTCTCGTGTTTTGTCGATGTGGGATTCGCCTAGGGTGTCACATTGGGCCGTTACATCTTTGTTCATTTTGCTAACAATGCAAGTTATACAATAACAACATACCATACCCAGTATAATCCTACATAGTGGGTCTGGGGAGTATAGTGTGTACGCAGACCTTACCCCTACCTTATGAAGATAGATTTGCTGACAAGTTATGTAGGGAGATTATAAGAATCATATCAAAAGTCGAAGTAACCCATAAAGAGTAGTCATAATCCCAGAAAAGAAGAAAAGGTCTTTGTTGCTCCACCTATTTGGCTGTGTATGGATCGGATCGGATTTTCGGATTTCGGATTCTAGAAAATACAATCCGATCCGAATTAATATCGGATCGGATCGGATTTTAAAGTTTGGATCGGATCGGATCGGATTTTCGGATTTCGGATCGGATTATTATGCCTCAAAGTTCCAAACTCATATGTATATTTTCTTTGTAAAAGAGGCAATACAGTAAGAAAAATTCATGTTTATACAATTATGAGAGTACTATGGTGCCAATAGAGCTAAATCCATCAATTGTAAAGGTAATAACTTGGAGGAAAATATAAAGGAAGTACTAATTATCCGAATTAAAGTTTAGAATTTATGCATGCCCTAATAATTTCGGATTTCGGATCGGATCGGATCGGATTAAAATTATACCAATCCGAATCCGAAATTTTAATAAACACAATCCGAAATCCGATCCAATCCGAAATCCGAAATTGAACGGATCGGTTCGGATATCCGATCCAAATGAACAGCCCTAAGCATGTTTTAGTGTAGAATACTGAAAAAGTTTTTTAACTTTGTCAACTAAGATATCTTTTGTATAATTTGCCAACATTTTGCCTTTCAGTGATAGCAGCATTGCCTCAGCTACTTCACTCGCAAAACACACGATTTACCAAGAAGCATCTCCAGCAACAGGTGTTGAAAACAGCCTTCCTCTTGCAGTAACTGATTCCAGGAATAAAAGTAGCGACACAAACTCTCAAAGTCAGATGCAACAAGTTCAAGAATCTGTAGTCATACAGGCTTCCCAGCAAAATCTGTACCAGCAACCACACTTCATTTCACCCGGCGCCCATTACATCCAACATACTGCAACAGGTTCAATAACAATTCCACCTTACTGTCCAATGTATGTAACTCCATCCCAGCAACCACTTCATCAACAAATGGATCGGCAATATCAATTGTATTTGATTCCTGTCCCGCAAATGACAATGCAATCTAATATAGCTGATGCTACAGTTACATCTTCCAAACCTGAAATGGCTGCAAATGACTACAGAACAGCCACCCCAGCTACTCCAAGATTTCTTCAAGTTCCTACTAGTCAATTTCAGCAACAATATTGTGGTTTTCCCCAGTTTTCTCCTCCATCACAGCCACTGGCTGCTGTTTCCACTGCCAATGCTAATTTAAGCTATGAATATTCTCACCCTACGCATGATCAGGTGTACTACGCTCAACATTCAGCTCCACCATTTCCTTCGCAGTATCAAACAATGACCCCTACTGCAGTTTTATTTTCACAGGCCTCACCACAACTAGCTGCGGAGAATACTACTTCACAAAAGATAACCTCGTAGCCTCTTTGAGTAAAAACAGGTAGTAAAAACAGGCCTCAGCACAACTAGCTGCGGAGACTAGTATATGGTGTTGTAAGAAGCAATTTAAGATCAGTGTTGGAACTGCATCCTATGTATTGTTCTCTCTTTTTCTACATGTATGTGTGTCTTAATAATTGGTATTCTATAATAAAGAACTTGTTAGATGAATCCAAGACCGGAAAATTTCTCTGCTTATCAGATGGGCTATCATGATTATCTCAATTAGTTACCACATCTAATCGTACCAACGCATCGATACTATTAGGTAAGTATATAGCACAGGTTTTTTATTAGTAGAAGCTTAATATGGAGCTCTCCTTCAATACCATTGAATAGGATTTCGGTGCAAAATCTATCAATTATAAAAAGGAACAGGTTGATAAATTGAGTATATAAGATGTGCTGCATTTACTGATTAGATTGAGAAAATTAAATAGTACTTAGGTAATAGGGAATAGCTTGGAGAAAAATGTTATCTTTGAGCTAATGCAGCTAGCTTCAATAAATTAGCTTCTCTCAAAATAATTAACTATTTCTTTGTAACATGACCTATCTCAAATGATTCCAAAGGAAAATCGTATTAACAGAGAATACAACATGATATATACTTCTTGTCATTGAATTTAGAGTTATGATATATTTGCTAGCTTCCAACATAAAGCTGCATACTACTTTCATAAGGACATGATTTCCACATACTGTCAAAGAAAGCAATCGCCTGTTTGGCTTGAAGATGAGCAAGACTGAAATTTTGACTTACTGAAAGTGCAAAAGTGAGTAAACTTTACTTGGCACTAATGAACAGAATGTGCAGATACATTTTCCATTTCTTAACTAATAAGGTGCCGAGGGTCTATTGGAAACAACCTCTCTGCCCTTCTAGGGTAGGGGTAAGACAGCATACATCTTACCCTCCATATACCCCACTTGTGGAAAGTCAGTGTGTTTGTTGTTGTTGTTGTTATTAACTAATAAGGTAGGAAAAGAGCTTCCAGCAAAATCATCGTCATAAATGTCTATGGCAAGGAAAAGTTATACAACTACAAGCAGTTTGATTTACTCATGAATTCAGGAATAGCTATTTCTTATAAAAAAAAATGGAGAGTAAAGCAGTTGGACCAGTGTGGTGCATGTCGAAGATATAATTAAGCAAATAAAAGAGTGTGCTCTCTAACAACTCAAAATTTCAAACAAGACGGTCACACGATTCAATGGTGCCACTGTGATAGCATTTCCAAATGACCAATGCAAATCAGAACTTGGTTTTTTATTTCAAAGGATTTTAAATCAAGCTTCTTAGGTGGGGAAGATGGGAGTGGAACATTTTCCAAGTGTCTTTGTCCCTCATCATCATCAGGCAATCCCTAGCTAACGCAAAATTTCTTTAATAAAAGTGCCAAATTAACATTGACGCTAAAGATATATTTGGCTAAGGAATTCTCCTAGGTACATTTTAGCTGTGGATATTCTAGCTTAGCTAATGTTGCATACAAGCTATAGATTTAGGTCTCCTAGCTAAGGTCAGTGGCTAATTGCATGTTTTCGGAAATACTACCACCGTCCATGTTATTTGTCATTTAATTTGTTAAACTGAATTTGTTCCAAAATATTTGACAACGCAGAAAAACAAGAAGCATTTGTAAGTTTATTTTCTTTCAAATACACACTTACTGCTCAAATTAGGGAAATGTTAACTAAATGAAACAGCTTAACGGTCATTAGTCAAGCACAATATCACCTTATTATTTAACTAGTGCTTTCTTTGAGATTTTTGATTTTGTTGGTAAGGAACAAACATAAGATTCCTTTTTTTTCTTTTTCTTTTTCTTTTTCTTTCTTTTTTTTTTTTTTTCTTAATTTGTTGAGGAGTGGGTGGGTAAGTGTGTGCTGATATTTTGCTTCTTGCAAATGACAATTTATGTGGCACCTCCAGTCCAACAACTTGATCAGAAAATAAATGATAATGGTCCCATGTATTTTGGCAGAAGCTACTGTATAGTGGCAATTGACTCATTCCCGGGCACGTTTAAAAGGTCCACAAAAAGCAGCAAATGATGAATTTTTGTATTAAATAAGAGGACAATGACAGACTTGACATTTTTCTACACAGAAGCTACTCTTTCTATAAAATCAAAGGTAATTGTTGATCACAAGATATGTAACAGCTCAGCCCACTAGTGATATTGTACGCTTTAGGCCTAAGCAACGCGTCGCTAGAGTCTGAGGCTTGTCTACTTATATATCCAGTCGCACGCGGAGTGGCTCTGATACCATATGTAACAAATCAGCTCACTAGTGATATTGTCCGTTATGGGCCTAAGCCCGCACGGCTTTAAAACGCATCGCTAGGGTCTAAGGCTTGTCTACTTATATACTCAGCACCTCCCCGTGTTTTATCGATGTGGGATTCGCCTAAGGTGTCACAAGAGACTAATCTTTAACTCTTGTAGAAGGTATTTTAGTTACCAATTTGTAACAATACACTAACTTTATATGCCATTACGCATTTTTCCCCTTAAATCAAAGCTATCTTCATACAAAATTCATAAAATAATTCACAATACGAATTTGTCACCGTGACAATAGATTTATCTGCAGACAACAACAACAACCCAGTATAATCTCATTAGTGTGTACGCAGACCTTATCTCTACCCTGGGGTAGAGAGGCGGTTTCCGATAGACCCTCGGCTCCCTCCCTCCAAGAACTCCCCACCTTACTTTTGGGGTGACTCGAACTCACAACCTCTTGGTTAGAAGTGGAGAGTGCTCAACACTAGAGCAACCCACTCTTGTCAATCACATATCTGCAACACATGCAAGAATTCAATATCTGGTTGGTTTTTGTATGATGCATTGTAATTAAAAGACAACCAGAAAATTGTGACCCATTGTTTCTAGCTGTCCCATATTGGATTGCTGTCCAAACAAAAAAGCCATCATCTTCAGGAAGTAATTGAGAAAGAACTACATAAATGGAATTTCTTGCATGCATAAAAGCTATACAAAAGGAAAACAAAAACAACAGGTTCATGAGGGCAAAAAATTCTTCGAAAACTAGCTATCAGGTATGGCTGCAGATTTACAAACAGGACAACTATTTTTGTGCATAAGCCACTGTTTTATGCAATGAATATGATAGAAGTGTCCACAGCCCAGCTTCCCCATCTCATCTTCAGCCTCATATTCTTCCTGTATTTCGAAAAGCAGAAAAGTATAGTTTTAATTATTAGAGCAATCAACTTTTCTTTAAAATAAGGTTTCGAGACAGAGCACAAACGCAAATGTCCAGAAAGTTTTGACTAAGCACAAACCTGACAGATGCTACACTTTTTTTCCATTTCTGTGCGCAGATGAGATAAGTTATTCAAAAAGAAGGGCTTAGTTCTTCTGACACATCGAGTTATCTCATCTTGTCTCAATCCTGTGCTCACATATCCAATTCTATCACCGAGTTCCAGCAATTCCTGTTAGCAAAGGGTAGTTGTCGTTAGTATAAAGATGGGAGTTACAAGGACAGAGAGATCTGCGCAATTGAATGACTTGCCTCATATGACATGTTATCCACATCAAGTCTCCAGCTCCGGTATCGATCAAGACCATTTGTTCTTCCTCCCATAAGACTATTCTGAAGCATCACAATCTGCAAGTAGACTCCAGTTAATCACACCACCAATTCATGCACATTATGTTGGAATATAAGGTGGGCTATTCATAAATACATAAGGCACAAAGACATTAAGTTCACCTCATAATATATTGAAATTCCACTCTAACATAACAAAATTACAAAGGGGATTTTTATAGGAACTAAAAGATAATTATAGACTCAATCCTACTAAATGCTTTCACACCGTAACTATGAACTTGGCCACCTAGATAACATAAAAGCTATGCATCTGATCACATAGAAATTCCAAAAGTCACATGAATTACTTCAAAATGCATGCATGCACTCAGTAATTCTAGAATATTCAAAATTATGTTTCTAACATTAAACACTTAAAGATTCATTTCCACTTTGAATGTTAACTTATCAAAAAAAAAAAAGATTCATTCCCGTTGTGCTATGCTATATTGCTACCACACAGAATTCAATAGATAGCAGTGACCAAAAGCTCATCTAATAGTACTAAATTGAAAGGTTTACATATGATTATATAGTAAATACTGATAGAACCCACAAACTATATGATGCAATTCACATAGGATGGGTGCTTGCTATGTGCTGACAATAACGAACAAGCTTAAGGCATTGTTAACCTAGGTTGCCACTATTGCTTCAGCATCATTACTCTCATCAGAGACTTATTTGCAAGTACATTGACACTCTCAAGTTAGGGTACTTCAACTTTGTACATGTTCTATGGCATCTCTATCAAGTCTACTCATGTAATTCTTAGAAAAGAACATTACGATGGCATGGTAAATTAACAGGAAAATATTTTGCTCCATCTTATATTATCTCAAAATCATATCTTGGGATTGGCAGCCATCAAACCAACAAGCATATACCTTATATTTACTTTGTTACTTGACTTCAGGAAGTCAGGTTCAGCAGAATCAATCACTCTGATTACCAATGTCATCTCCTGGTACTACATATGTGTTTCCAACAGGCATTATTGCCCTTATATTGTACACGGGCAACAAACTTGAAGACATCACCAACAAGTTGGCTAGTATAGTTTGCAGTTTTGAGTTTGCTACAGAAGCATACCGGATTCACTAAAGAATTTCCTGTTGTTATCAGCTTTTCAAAACATTTTAAGAGTTCAAAATCACCGGGAACATCAATTACAAGGCAATGCCACTAATTTTTTTCAATAGCTAAGCAAACAATATCCCATATTCCCATGATTAGTTGTTCTACATTAATTGGTAAACTATGAAGAAAAGGGTTGCAACAAGCTACTTTCAAGATGATTAAACAAATTAAGGCTATTCCAACAAAAGGAATCCGATTAAGTGATGATGCTTCATGGAAGTGCAAAAGCTAATTGATTCTACTGCAGCTAAATTTCATAAGTTGACAATTGAACTCTGACA